CTTTACTGACAAGATGCGCGTTAAATATCGCATGCGATTTATCGTGCAGCCCTAATTTAAAATCATGTTTACTGACACACAATCGAAGCATCTACATTTTATTCAGGGCTCCAGACTGCGACTAAAACGGTCGCATTTGCGAGCAAAAATATTAATTTGCGATGGAAGTTTCTGCTGAGGTCGCCACTGGCGACTATATATATTTACATGTTATGACTTTAAAATGTGCATGTAATGCCTTTTTTCCTGATTGTTTTGCAATCGCATCACTTGCTGTGTTCACGTATTAAACTGAGACGACGCACATCAAAGTTTTAGTGGAAAAAATGGTTTCAAACAGCACTCATATCTGCTGAACAGCAGCGCTGACACACCTGATAAACGCAGCTCAGTTGTGCAGCGTGAGAGAGATCGAAATGACAGAGACGTGCAAGCAAAAGTGCAGAAAAGCAAAGTCTATTTCGTGCACAACTTGAACAAGCTACAATATCTTTATATCTTTAACAATTCTCGTTTATAATCATTACTAATATGGCTTCTTCTTATCAAGATCTTAGTCTATATGTGTTAATGCGGCGGCAGGTGCGATCGCTTTAGCGTAGGCCTGGGCAATAAAACGGTATCGATATTTATCGACGGTACACCTTCTTCGATATGGATTTTTCGATATAGTGCACGATATAGGCACGTACTATGAGCGACGCAGACAGCACACACAAACACAAACACATGCTGAATTGAGTGCTGTGCCTGCCTGTGATGAGGAGATTGTGAATAAAAAAAATGAATATTAGTCGAATTTAAAATAAACATTTGCCTGTGAATGTTAGCTGTGCATCAGGGAGCGTCATTAGTGGCGCGCGAGATGCGGTGATGTTTTGTTATGCATTCAAAATATTAGAGAAATATAGAAGCTCAATGCGGAGAAGATCTGGAATGGGTTAAAACCGAACCCAAGCCACTCACACAGAACGCATATTTAGCGCATTTTTAGACGGACAACTATGACTGCTGCACTCGCGTCTCACACAAGAGATGTATAGAAAGCCATGCAAAGTTAAAACGGTTTAAACTTTTAGAAAACACAGTGTGCTGTGTGTGCATGTGATTGAGCAGTTATAGGGTAGAAATTAAACTGAAATTACATTAAATCAGGATGTTTTAAAGGGGTCAACAGCTGCAAGGAAATTTTTCCTTTCTCTTTGCTGCAAAGAGCCAGACATGGTTTTATGTTTACACGGCGCAATACGCAACGCAAAGCGTAAAAACACAGTATAAGTCATTACAATCAGTAATTATGTACCCACTGGATGCAACAAATGCCTCGTTTGTAATGGGTTTTATTGGTTTTGTCTCGTCGCACCGGACACATCGAAACCATAGACTGTATGATGGAAACGCAGTATGATAAGGGTCGTAACATTTCTGTCACATGCTTGAGGTATTCGGCCAATCACGACGCACTGGATAGCTGGCCAATAAGAGCACACCTCGCTTTTCAGACCAATGAGACTTGTACAAATCGACGCGTTTCAGAAAGGTGGGGCATAGAGGAGAAACAATAATCTACATTATGTGGATAATAATGTGTTTTTTTAACTTTAAACCGCATAAACACATTGCATTAAACCAAATACACAAAATAATGTTCTTTTTAGCAACATCATATGACCCCTTTAACCAAGATTATGCTGCAAGATTTTTTCTCAACTACATTTAAGTTCCCAGTTCCTGCAATTTTGCAAATTTACAGTTAATTCCCATATATTCCCGTTTATTCCAATGAAAAGTTTTCAGTCTTGAAAATTCCCGGAATTTTGCAACCCTACTTGTGAAGATCATCTTGATGAACTAAACGTGTAAACATCACAACCTTTTATTGATCACCATGCATAATTTCTGCAATAATCCAAAAGCCAAAGGAACAATCCTACTGGCTTTTTTTTAAGAGAATAAGGGTGATGTTAACTTCCGGGTTGGCCTACAAACAAACGTCATTCCTGCAGCATGCTATTGTTCCAGTTACATTGGATCAGTATCAGTACAATTGATTCATACCATATTGTTGAGTCGGTCATCTAAGCTTCCGTTGGAGATGGTCCAGTTGTGCAGCTCCTGCTCATCTGTGCCGTCTTCAAATGGCGTTCCACCCGTCGCCATCATGAACTATCAGAACCTGCAGAAAACAACCAAATAAGCACTTACACAGACCTAACCTAAAGAAATGCACAACCCTAATCCACCTTCGCTGACAACTCATATACACCGCAGAGTTTGCGAATATATGCTCCCGAAATGTAATCTGTGTGACCCCAAAATATATTTTGAAGCATTTGTGCGAGTGCACATAATTGTTGTGGTGCAACCTGTCTTCATTTCTCTGCTAAACGTTCACGAATTACTACACAGTATGTGCCTGCTGTGAGCCGATACAGTGACCACTCCACCATTCTATCTGACGTTTCATAACCAATTAAGCTTCATCTTTACATTCTTAACTTTAATGCGTATTTTAGATTGGTTATATTAGCCGTCAATCACTTCCTTTCGCTGCACTCCGTTGTCACGTGACAGGGAGCTAACTCGGAACAGAACGTTTTTTTTGTTTTATTTCAGCCAATCTCTGTTCTGGACTTGCACAAACTGCATTTAAATCATTTTCCAAAATGTCATTTGTGTGGAAATATTATGAAGTCTGTAGAGACGTTGAAGAAGGACGCAAATAAAATAAAATAAAATACTGTAGCAGGCAGAACAAGCTCACTGATCACTATACGCGAAATATAGAAAGAAAATCCTAAATATTGAATTGGTAGTGGGGGTTAAAATTAATGTATTTCTGAGGGTAATTGACTGTCTTGACTGAGAATGTATATTGCTTATATAAAGAAGTAAGTGCAGCACTGCTTTGCTTACAGCGGTAACCAAGGAAACACTATTGCTGCTGTTCCATAAGCGCCACCTGCTGTCAGAGAGTTAGGGCGTGTTCACACTTGGCATCTTTTTTGACAAGAAAACGTTGACGAGCGCTTTTTTAGTAAAATAAAAAGCTGGCAGCGTTTTGGTTACAAATAGCAGCCGAGGGTGTCTTTTGTTGCTATAACAACAGCTGCAACAGTAGCCTAGCACTATATGCTGCAGAAATGTCGAGAAAGAGTCAAAAGTTGGCTCTTGCGTTGCCTTTTGAAGTTAACAGGGAGGTGAATGTCAGTTCACTTCATTATCTCATTTTCATAAAATAAAATGCTATAGTATTTAACTTTTCCACTCTATCGGCAAATGATGATTCTGAAAGAAAACGCTCCCGATGTCTGTTTGCTATAGCAACGAACGCTACTTCATGCATCTGATAAACCTCGCGCTCTTATTTCAAGGTTGTGGTTAATGCTGTGGTTATTTTAACAGTTTCCTCCGTACATTCAGTTCAACGACATTGTTAAAACACATTTATCATTCAATGGAACTGTGCGTATGCTTTAGACACTTACATTTTTGCTCCGTCCATGCAAGAAATGCGCAGCTGCTCGATTGATTCGAATATCTTCGGTGTGACCGATAGCCACTGAAAAACTACAGAAAAGTAAAACTACTTCACTTTAGCATTGCTGGCCACGAGTAGCCTACTAAGGAGAGATCACACATCAGCTGCTCAAAAAATGTGTCAGTGAGACGAACTGAGTGCAAGCGCAATCCAGTGACAGTCACAGGCGGTAAATAGTAGAGAAGGAGAGATGCGAGGGCACAAACACTGTTCAAGGTATCCATTAATTCGTGCTTGTAGTAATTTAATGTATATATATATTTTGAAAGCATTGAATCGCTATAGAAATCGCGATTCATTCGATTCTTAGCGTTTTAAATCGATTACTGTCCGAAATCGACGATTCACGATTCAAAATCCATGTTTCAAGATCAATGCATATGCATCATCAGGGTTTGTAATCGATGCATCGATAAAACGAGTGAATCGTTACACCCCTACTAACAAGAAATGAAGGGCCAAGTGGTGGCAAAGAATTCAGGATCAGGTTCAATTGTTTAAGCTTTTAATCATCAGGATGTTGCCAGCCCTTCCGTTCAATTGGCAGTTTTGATGCTCCTTAATATTCAGTGGATGCTCCTAAATTTCTGTTGGTGCTCCTAACTTCTTGAGGTTGGGAGCACCAGTTCTACCAAGTAAACAGAGGCGGACTTACCCCATTAGGCAAAGGTAGGCGACTGCCTTGGTCCCCCTAAAATGCTTTTCATACACGAGATGTGCATTAAGCGCTGACATGAGAATGGTTGCTTGTCCGAGTTGAACACACTTCCCTTGCATCCTGCTTGTCGCAAATGAAAATATCATGTATCTGAAGCTGTAATTAAATATTGAGCAACAGTGCATATTATATGTTTATTGTTTTAAATGCCGCTTACTCATTTATGAGAAGGACCCAAGTAGAGGACGCATACGCAGTTACTTGTTTGGTTGATATAATCCTTAGGTGTATAAATGTATAATTTCCAATTCATTATTTTTTCATTTTCATTTAAATTTGTAGTTAAAATAAGTTTATTTTAAAGTTTAGAATTAGACAGCTTTTGGCACACAGGCTTATGCTGGTAACTCATCAGTGGACTTTCCTCCTCAATATAGGCTATATTTTTCTCATTCTCACTAATTCAAGTTTTTATATGAATGAATCTCTGAAGGGAACCGACTGTCTTCAGAAAAGTTTTGGTGGCATTTTCATTTTATCTCATAAAGTAACGTTTATGAGCAGCGCTGCTTTGTTTACAGCCATTACTGGGGAAACCACTGTATTTCTGATGTTCCAAAAGCGCTTCCTGCTGGCAGAGAATCAGTGTGCATTTTCAATAATCCCGTCTGCAGTTTTTGTTCAGATCGTTTTAAATTAATATCATAATTTATACTTCCGACTCATTTTTTCTTAAAAAAAAAAGTGCTAAAATTGTGAGCTTTATTATTTTATAATTTATTTTGTTTTTGTGAAAACTGTAAATACAAATGCTATTTTGTGGTCTACAGCATGAAAGAAAGCCATTATAACATGTACATAAAAAAATGTAGAAACATTGGACACAACTGTGGGGCACCATTGCGCAGCAGCAAGCATCACAACAAAAAAGGAACCTCAAGGCTGATCTAGGTAAATGTGTGCAAATATATATATATGGCCTGATTCCTATATTTTGTCAGGGGCCCCCAAATCACTAAATCCACCCCTGCAAGTAAAAAGGTTAATTTCGACCCCTGCACCACGCGGCCACACAGCTTCTTGATGTGACCGTTCCATTTGAGGGGCTGAGGTTTGTTTGACCAGCTGCCAAGCAACATTTAACACGCCACACTGAGCATGACAACATTAAACTGAATAAACTGTAACATTAGATAATGACAAAAGTTCACCACAGTATTACAAATTCTTATAATGCCCTTAAAAAGTATTGTGCCAATACCATGGTGTAGTAATGGTAATACAATGGTATTTTGATATATAAAATGGTACTAGTCCACTTATGGTTCTCCTAAGGTCTAAAGAACCAAGTATTACCAGTGTTGGGGAAAGTTACTTTTAAAAGTAATGCATTACAATATTGTGTTACTCCATAAAAAAGTAACTAATTACGTTACTTAGTTACTTTTTATGGAAAGTAACGCGTTACGTTACTTTTGCGTTACTTTTTAAATCTGGACAGGGCTTGCTTGTTTGTTTTTGAAATAAAGTTCTATTTTTGGCAAATTAAAAAAAAGGGGGGGGGGGGGATAACCCCAAAATCCCAAATAAATGTTTATACTTGAAGTTAGTTTTGCAATTGTCATATTGTAAAAAAAATGTGGACATGAATTACAAAAATATAGAAAAAGCTCAATGAAATAATGTCTTCAACTCTTAAGCACAAGGAGACTTGCACTTTTAGACGTGATAAAATTCTAATATAAATAATATAAAGACTATTTATTATATAATATATCAAATATATTTTTGTTTGTAATCAGTATTCCACTCCTCCAAACAAACATACAACACTTCCAATTATGTCCATTAGATGCCACTCCTGTATGATTTGTCATTCCATTTACAGTGAAAATTTTTACCGCAAGGTGTCAAGAGTACAGTAGCCCCTCACTGCAGAACACAAGATCCAGGGGGCCTGGTTGGATCCACATCTAGGGGATGGAGATGGGTGGGTTTAGGGATCAGGGGGTGGAGACGGGTAGGTTAAGGTAAGGTGGGAGGAGTTGGATCTGGATCCAACCTCGCCCCCTGGATCTTGTGTTCTGCAGCGAAGACCATCTCTCAGAGTAAGCTGAAGTGATAGTCCACTCCAAATGTAGTCTGTCATCATTTACTCATCCTCATGTTGCTTTAAACCTGTGTGACTGTCTTTCTTCTCTGGAACACAGAAGATATTTTTTAAAATGTTGTTTTGGTTCCCATTGGCTTACAAAAACCACAACAGAAGTATGAAAAAAATAAAAACATTCTATTTATTTATTAAGGGGGCTGTGGAATAAAGAACAATGATAATAATTCTATATAAAAATGATATAGGAAGTATAACCCCCCATGCTATCTTGGTTAAACTGTAAGATAAAGCTGAGTGGAAGTCTAAATTCATGATATAGATTCACAAACATCTTTTTGTCATAATTTGACTCACATTCTCTGTGTATATCTGAAGTACCGATTTAAACAAATTCTAAACTTAAACTTGTTTATTTTAAATAATAATTTGTGTTTGCATTCAAATAAACAATACAAAATAGGATAAACATCCAGAAATGTAATGCATTAATTAAAAAAATTAAATAAAGCAAAGAAGGGCACTGCGGTTGAGATGGGACACATTCACACCTAAAGCATTCTGGATGTGAGGGCCACTGGATACAGTTTAGGAGAGAAGTAAATACATTCCACAACAGAGATCTGGATCTACAGTATATGCACTCCATTTAAGCTTCTTCCCTGAACTGTCTTTTTTCTTTTCTGTATAAATGCTCTAAAAATTCAATCCAAGCAAATAGAGGACTTCTGTTTTCCATCTTTTTTTGCAAATACCATATAGTGTTCTTGTGAGCATACAAAGAAAAGGACAGCTTTCCATCTTTTACTTACTATGCACAGACCATTTTAATAAAAAAAAAGGATAACAGAGCACAAGTAACA